ACAGAGACAGACAGAGACAGACAGACAGACAGACAGACAGACAGACAGACAGACAGACAGACAGACAGACAGACAGACAGACAGACAGACACACACACACACACATATATATATACATATATATAAATATATATATATATATATATAGATACACACACCTGTTTCACGCTTCTCCGCTGCGCATTGTGATGACAAGCTCAGGGGGTCAGGCTTGTTCTCCGCGGGCAGAATTCACCCTAAACGCTTTCAGGAGGCTCCCAGGAGGCCTTCCAGTAGGCCCCCAGAAGCGTATGAGACGTCTCGCGTACACATCTTGCTCGGCGTTCCCAGAGAGGCTTTCAGAGGCCACCATTTCACGATCCATCTCAGGGCTTCGAGAAGCCACTGAGAAACACGCCGTAAGGCCCCTCCAAGAGGCACCCAAGACGCCCCGACCTCACGATCCAGGTCAGGGATGTGCCGACATGGGTGGGGCGGCGGGATGCAAACCTTGGCTCTGGGGCTGTCGATGGAGCTCCCTGTGGGGCACGATCCGTGTGGGGTGCACACCATGCAGACTTTGTCCTTGGGGGGGGGCACGATCCGTGTGAGGGCCGTGCCGAAATTTGTAGGGGGACGCTGTGTGAACCCTGCCTTCCTCTGGGGCCGTAGGTGTAGGCTCTATGCGCGTGATTGGTACCTTCTCATTTCAGATTCAATCAATTTGTGGGTCACCACTTCAGTGGAGCTGTGACTGAATCGCACCACCCAGTGAATGTCAGTGGCAATGAGGAGGAGGGAGGAGGAAGGAGGAGAAGCTGGATCTTCAGAACCCTTTCATGCATTTCCAAGTCTCTGCGCCCGGCTCGCATCGGAAGAGGGAGAAGGCAGGGTACGGGCAGATAGGGATGCTGTGGCCCGGTGATCTCACCCAGACGTCCACATACTATACGCACGTTGTTATATATATATCTATGCCACAGTGTGTATAAGATAGGTGTTCGTCTCTTTATAGACGTATACACAGATGTGTACACAGACATCTATATAAACATATTCACTTGCACACGCATATATATATATATACACATACATGTACACATACATCTACACATACGTGAATTTATCTGTGTGCACATCACTATATTCACACACGTGTGCACATACATATACATTTACACTTACATGCACAGACACGTATACATATACATACTCGTAATCACTTACACATACATATGCATGAACGTCCACTATACATGTACACATACATTTACATGCACACATACATAACTCTACACGTGTATACCTTCATACACCTATATACATTTATATACACATACACAGACACATTTACATACACATATATAGATATATAGATCTACATACAAACCTTTACATATCCATATGCAAATACATGTACGTATCCATATTCAGCTGCATTTATAGTTATACGTACATTTACATACACATACACATATACATTTACAGCCACGGATACATATACATATATATATATATGCCTATATATACATATAGGCATACACATCCATTTACAAACACATATACATTCACACATACACATACACGTACACATACACATACACATACACATCCGCACACATACACATACGCCACATACACATACACATACACATACACATACACATACACATACACATACACATACACATACACATACACATACACATACACATACACATACACATACACATACGTATGCATGTACATGTACATATACATATACAGATAAGAAACATCTGCATAAACATGCACATCTACCAACACATACCATATACGCAAGCATATACACATACCAACGAACATAGACACATACACATACATACACATACACATACATACACATATACAACCATCCACATAGACCTCAATGTTAAACAGAGGGGGTTCGCTGAGAAGGGCCAGGGGGGCGTGGCTTCCTAGCGGTCTCGGAGGCCGCTCTTTGTTGGGAGGTTTCTCATGTCAGTTTGCGTTCGCCCCCGTCCTTGGGGCTGAAACCGATGAACAACCAATGCTGTTCGTGCATATCGGACTTCTCGAAAAGTCACGCGGGCCAGCCCGGCAGCGCGCAAGAGCGTTCAGAAAATTGTGCCACATTTTCTAAAGAATTTGTACGGTTCTCAACGCAGAGAGCTCGAAGGGCTTGAGGACACTCCTTTCAGCGCCTATGGTCAGATGTTCTTTGTGGGGGCATTCCTGGGGCCCACCTAGCGGATCTGTTCAATTCTAGTTCGACTCTAGTTTGACTTTAGCTAGACGTAGTCCGACGAAAGTTCGACTCAAATCGACGGACATTTGACGCAGCATCGACGCAAGAGTGGAGCGAGTGGCTACGGGAAGATTCCCAGAACGAGCAATTATTTATAGCGCCGTGGCGGATCGTAGCATAGATTCTGGTCAAGGTGCCTGAGCCTACATATTTGCAGTCCGAGGGAAGAGGAACAGCAGCAGCAGAGTATCGGCATGGGGTGGTTTCTGGGCCCCGGGCCGAACATCGCGATATAGGGGGTCCTCGCACACCTGCACTAGGTCGGATCGCTCTGCTACTGCTCAGCTCGATGTACAGACCACAGGTCAGGGTGAATGGGTGGATTAATTCGCGCGGCGAGCAGGCGAATGGGCGGTGAGGAGAACGCAACGATTGGGAATCCATGGTGTTCTGCTAGGACCAGGTCCCAAGTTTTAACCTCTTAGTATAAGAAGTAAGAAGTTTTCCAGGTGCGAAACATTGGGATCGTACCAAACAGGCCACATATCTTTGCAGTCGTCTGATGTCAGTGTAGGCTTTTCCAGGACCGCTGTCGGCTGTTGGGATTTCTCTTTAGACGGTGCCTTCTTGCCTTCATACACTCACTTTAGCTATCCTTCTCGTGAGACCAGAAGGCGGCTACCCTGCTTCTTGTTCCAGGCTCGTGGCAGACAACATAGCAGGTTCCCAATCCTCTTATCGTACCTGGTGCTTACATTGAACGAGACTAGTCCACGGCGTGCAGGCTGCACGGCTCGGGTCCTTCTTCAGGCTGTTTCGTTGACGCGTGAAACCGAGTCTGGACAGTCCAGCACTCTTTTACTACACCGCCCGAGGTGGGGCAGGGCGGCGCCACCTTGGGCGTAGTCTCAAGTCGGGGGCGGGGGGAGGCGCGTCCATGAGAGGGCAGAGGTGGCGCTCGTGAGGTATTATGTTTACACCTACGTGTTCTACATGTTTGTCCTCGCGTTCTACAAGGCGGCGCGGGTGCCGTGAAGCTTCCAGAAGGGGTCTCGATACCCTGTTGACGGAGTTGCGTATTGTTTTGGTCACGGTCCGTGCTGCTTTGACTCGATTTCTGGGTTCACCGACGCCTGAGGGAATTTTGACAGTGTCCACTCACCCTCCACATATAGTTTGACCACCAGAGCCAATGCGATGTCCCCACCGTTTTTTTGAGTCTATTCCATTGACCTTTATCACGCCTCCTTTGCAAACATCCTTCGTCTTCGCGTATCACCAGCTTATTCAAACATAATTCCCAGGCGAGTGTCGTTGGAAGGGGGTGATTCTGAGCTACACAAAAGGGGGGCACCAGTCAGACTAACACAGGGATCAAACCAAGCAGGCCTTTGATGCAGGGCAGTTGCGGTGATGTGATCTGACCGTGTATTAGTTTGATGTCCACAAATGTAATATTGCATTGATTTGTATCGCTTTACCTTGCTGTAGCCTAGGTGAGCGTCACGTTGCACAGCTCAACTTGTGTGGCGTAGACGAGCTGGTCTTGGTTTGACGCGGGCTGAGTGAGCCAAGCGTAGCCGAATTTAGCTTAGCTTAGCCAGGATTCGAATGGCTAGGCTTGGCTCGGCCTTTCTTAGCTCAGGTCAGCGCGGTGTTGCGTAGCAGAGTTTGATCTCGCCTGGAATCGTTTTGACGATCGTAGCGTAGATAGATTCGCTCAGCTGTGTGAAGTTCATCTTAGCGTTGCTTAGCCTTGGCTCTTCCTTCGCCCCGCCCCAGACCGCGAAATCTGGGCTCGGGCATCTAGGCCTTCTCGGAGCCACCTGCAGGCGTCATATGATCACCCAGAGCCGAACCGTGTAGGAATTGATTGCCGCCCCCTCCTCCTCCTCCTCCTCCTCCTCCTCCTCCTCCTCCTCCTCCTCCTCCTCCTCCTCCTCCTCCCCTTCCTCCCTTCGCTCCTCCCCCCCCGCCTCCTGGACTGTTCAGTGCGCCCTGTTCTGTTTCGCCGGCCGCAACGTGTGGGTGTTTTTCTCCGCCTGGGCCGCATATGGCCGCCTCTTGCGGGCATGCAGGCTTGCCTTGTTTGGCTACACACGATCAGGCGTCTTCAGTGATGCGGGCTACAGTCAGCCCGCATGGTAAGGATGGGCAACCTTCCCCCCAAGGGTACCCTTGCATCCTTGCCCCGTCGGCCCATCCTTAGCGACTCTCGCTGGCCAACCCAGTTCGAAAAACGCTAACGTGGCCCTCCAAGGCCCTTGGATCCTTACCGCGCATCCTTATTATACGGGTCGACTGTATCTTTATGGCATCCTTGGGAGGCTTGCGGGCAATCTCAGAGAGCTCCTTCAGACATCCCACGCCGCCTTTCTCAGGGCTACGCGCTGGAGTACCCTGCGAGTACCAGGTGGATGGAGATGGCGCTCATCATGACCCTTCCCCTGGTGCCTTCTTTCGACTTTTGATGAGGAGCAGCATTCCTTTACAGTGCCGTTCCGCGCTTGAGCCTGAGGCCAACACGTGTGAGGTATTTTCACAACGTTTAGTGTATCCCCATTGGCCCATCTGGACACGCTGCCCAGCGGAGCTGCCTTTAACTCTCAGAGGTCTCTTGGGGCGTCTTGGGGCCTCTCGGAGCGTCTTGAGTGCCTTTGGCGGGGGCCTTTTTGGTCATCTTCGGGGCCGCCTGGGGGCCTCTTTGGGGCCTCGTGGGGGCCTGTTGGGGGCCCCTTGGAGCCTCTTTTGCGCTTCTTGGGCCCCTCTTGGGGCTCTCTTGGGAGCTTTTGGCTCCTTCTTGGGGTCATCGTGCATGTTTTGGATGAAGCATGAGGGTCCTTGTTTAGCCTCGCCACCCCAGGACACAAACATGAGTCCGACACCTAGGACCAACCAATGATTTTGGATTTGTCGCCGAGGCCATCGTGGCCGCTCTGACCGCTCGCGAGACCTCCAGTCCAGACCCAGGGTGGGGGTAAAAGGGAAGATGGGGGGGGGTGATGGAAGAGAAAGTGCCCTAAGCCACCTCAGCCCAGAGGGCTGGTGGGGTTCGGGCATTCTGGGCGAGCTTGTTATCTTTTCGTAGTCATCAGTGTAAACACGTGTCACGGCAGCACATTCAATTCGCATCCATTTAGGTCACACCATACCCTTGATGATGGCAAGGGTAGCTAGAATTGGAACGCGAGCTGATGTCAGTGGACGGAATGTGTGACCATAGCAGCATAGCGCGTGATTCGCATGAGCAGCATGGACGTTGTCATTCACGTTCTGATCGCAATTGCGCTGCCGTCGCTGGCCAGCCTGTTGCAACTATACCCTAGATCTGATGCCACATTTGTCACCGTTCCAGATTTTGCATGGATGCAAGCCACCGCGCCAGCTCACTTAGCATCTCCAGAGTGCGCTGATTCAATACCGCCGCTTCGACTAACCTCTTCTTCTCGATCAGCGGTCAGCGGGCCATGTTGAGCACCACTTTCTCTGCGGCATCAGGTTCACCACCTCCGCTTCTACTTCGGCTACTGGGGATGCGAGTTTGGGTTTCCCACCGACCTCTGTATCTTCTTGACGCTGTGCAGTCTGGTGATGTGCGAGCTCATGTAGTCAGGGCGCTTTGCGAAGTTCGGATGCCTGCCCCCCGCGTGATTGGGCGGCCAAGATGTGTTGGCATGCCCCAGAAGACCTTCGGACGACGTGGGTTCATGAGTGGGAACCCATGCCAAGAAGCACCCTGCTTGCCTCCAGGGTGTCCTGGGTCTCTTGGGTTTCGATGGTTTTGCTATGGAAGGCGTGACGTTCCCACACCAAAACATCCATGGACTTCCTGTGGTCTCAGGGTTGGGTTTCTTGTGGACGGTTTCTCGTGGTCGAGCTCCTGCTGCACGACGTTCTACAGCTGTTCGAGCCCCCGCACCTGCGACGTGACACCGACGGGCTGCCAGTGCTGGCCACGTCGACCGCGCGCCCCCTCCTTACGCGCCCTTTTGTGGTTTCGGATCGGCGCAGTCGATTGTCGTGCGATGTCTCGGTGGGGGAGTGCGGGCGGTGCTCTCGCTCCTGGTCCCTTCTGACTTCCTTCGTCGGTGAGCGAGGGGGGGAAAGGAGAAGGAGAAGGCCTTCTCAGAAGGCGGCTGGACTTCTCAGAAGCCCTCGCGCCTTCTGAGATGTCTTCGGTGTCCTCGGGGAAGGCTTAGGGCACTTCTCAGAAGTCCGGGGGACCTCCGAGCCTTTGAGAAGGCCCGCCCCTTCTCGCTTCCCCCTCGCTCGCCGCCGATTCCTTGCAGGAGGTCGGATGGGGAGGAGCAGGCGAGAGGATGAGGCTGTGGAAGGGGATAGGACGGTGGAGGAGGAGGGGGGTGCAGAGCGTCCAGCCCCCAGTGGCCAGGGAGGGATGAAGCTGTAGAGCGTCAGATTGCGTCCGTGCCCCCTCTTCGGGCTCCGTACTCCTTTGTCTTGCTGTGCGGTGCTTTTTTCTGTGCGCTGTCTGCGTGTTCTTTTCGCGCCCTCTGTCTCCTCACCAGCGGTGGCGGTCTCTCCCCCACTTGGGGTATTCAGAGCTCGGTATCCTCTTCCCCACCAGGCGCGTCCACACTTTGGGGTTCCACTGGCCACCCAGCAGCGGCTGCTCCCGAAAAGGCGGCGACGCCGTCGTGCTTCGTGTGCCCGTTTTCGGTTCTCGCGAGAGCGCCGCGGCCGTCATTCTCCAGGCTTGCGCCCGCCAGGTTTTGGGCCCGAGGTCGTTTTCACTACACCACGTTTTGCTAACGGGGGTTCTGTCCATCCCCGAACCAACGTGCGGCCAGACAGGCCAAGTCTCGAGTAGATTGTAAAGTGCAACACGGTGCAACTCAGGAGGGAACAAAAACACACAGACACAATTGATCGTCGATCTCCCAGAAAATATGGGAAAATATGGGAAGTGGGGGGGAAGACAAAAACCCAGAAGATATGGGAAAATAATGGGGAATCCTGTGAATTGTGTGTATTTCTTTGTGTGTCCCGGGGCCCCTTCAGCAGCGTTGCACAGGACAGCTTTCATGGGGAGCCCGGCGGTTCGGAGCGCCCGCCTCGTGCCGAGGCGGAGTGGCATCGGACACGCCGGAGACGAGGCTGCCATCTCACGTGCCTCTCGCAGCCCCTCCGGGCCGGCGTATTTTCTCTTCTGGCAGGCCTACGTCATGCCAACGGTGGGGATCCCCAGCGTCACCGCAGGGATGTGCTCGCCAGAGCTTTCGAGACTCGGCTCGCTCAGCGGCCATGGGCTGGCTTCGAGGCGGATTTTGGCGTCGCTGCCCTCCCTTTCTCACGTATGTTGCTCTTGTCTTTGCCAGTGTGCCTCCTGTCCGTTTCTGCACCCAACAATGTCTGGCAGCCGGTTCTCGTCGCGTGGCCCGGTTGCAGCCGAAGGGGGCCAGCGGGGCCAGCCGCTCGTGGGTTATTGACTTCGTCTGGCCAGCGCCGACAGCAACGCAGCCGTCAGGTAGAGGCAACTCGAACGGTTTCCACTGCGCAGTTCGTGATTCACGAGGCCTCGTATTCACCTTCCTCCCAGAGCGTTCTCGCAGCAGTCGGGGGCGGCAGGGTCAGCACAGGCGCTCCAAGCGGCCCCACGGGAGGCCGAGAGCGATCCCAGGACGGCCCGAGAGAGCCCCGAGACGACCCGAGAGCCCTCCAGGAGCCCGTGAGCCAGTATGCCGCCAAAGACCTGTTGGCTCGGGATGGGAACGCAGGATGCGCGGTTCGACGCCCTGCCGGTTCGCTGGGCCCCGCACGGGATCTCCCGCGCTGCCTTCTCTCACCGAGCCTCCCGCCGGTCAGCCAAGGACCTGACCGTCCTCTTCGTCGGGGCGCTGGCGGCCTGCGTCGAGGCACGCGGGCAGGGGATCTCGGGAAGAGGGGTGGAGAGTAGGTGGAGGAGGTGGGGTCGAGGAGGGACGAGGGGATTTTGGGATCGCGAGACTGATGATGCGCTGGGTCCTCAGCAGAGGGCGGCATCACAAAACGCAGCGTGTTACGAGACAGGCGGGAATATTCAGCTACGGGCTTCAGGGGAGATACGCAAGTGCAGCACCAAGGCCCCCTTGTGGGCTTCTTGGGGAAGTCCTGGCGGTCTTGGTGGCCCTCCTGGGAACAGGATCGACATGCTAGTTCGCATTCCCCCTCTTGGGCTCCTCTTGGGGCCGTCCTGGGGGGCCGGTGGGGCCCCTCTTGAGAGCTCGGAAGCCGTCTTGGGCCGATCTCTCGGGCCGCTTGAGCCACCTTGGGCGCTCCCAAGATCGAAAAGACTGGGGAGGCACAACCAGAGGACAACATGAGGCTTCTCGGGGCAGCTCTCAGAGCCTCCAACACGGCCCAAGAGGCGCTCTAGAGGGCTCCAGGACGGGCCCTGGAACCATCTTGCTCATGCTGGAAGTGTTGGGATCCCAACACACATTCCCCGAGGCCTCCAGACAGGTTATGCGAGAAGTCCCGGGAGCGCCCAGGAGCGCCCAGGAGATCCTGGAAATCCGTGCCCTGGGGGCTCCTTCGAGAGTTTCTGCAATGCCCAAGACAGAGAAATCGAATGCTTCTGAGGACGTTCCGCTCAGTGCATTGTGGCACGGTGGCGGACACGTTTTCCCCGAGTCTCATGGCGCTCACTCTCTCTTCTTGGCCGCTCCCATGCTTGTCTCGCTATGTGCAGCACCACTGCTGAAGTCGTAGCGCTAACGCGACACGCTTCGCGAGAGTGCATCGGCTGAGGGGGAGGAGAGTCGATAGGCGCTGGGCGGGCCCCGCTTTCGCGGCGGGCAGACGAGGGCTTCGAGCAGCCGTGCCCGTTTTTGTGTTGTGCTTCTTGCTCATGGTTCTGGCACGACCCATTCTGTGGGACCGTCTCTTCTCGGCGGCGAGCGAGGGGGGTCAGTGAGAAGGGGCGGGCCTTCTCAGAAGTTTCGGAAGTCCCCCGGCCTTCTGAGAAGTTCTCTGAGCCTTCCCCGCATACAGAAGCAAAAAACCCTCAGAAGGCGCGGGGGGCTCCCGAGAAGTCCCGCCGCCTCCTGAGAAGGCCTTCTCCTTCTCACTCTTCCCCCCCCTCGCTCGCCGCCGATCTTGGCGCCACGCCGTTTCTGACAGCCCTGGGGCCCGGCAGGCGCCCCCCAGAGGCCGAGCAGGGCCAGCGACCTAACGCCGTGCTTTTTTTTGTTTTTGCTCCCGCGGCGCGAGGAGGTCCGGGCCCGGCCCCCGCTCCGCACCCTGCGCCGTCCGCCTGTGGGTTCTTCCGCCACTTTTTTTGAGGGTGGGTGGGTGTGGGGGTGGGGGTGGGGGGTGTTTTTGGGTTTTTGGTAATATGTGTATATATAGATGTATATATGTATAAATGTATATTTGTATTTGCGTATATCTCTCTCTATATATATATATGTACATGGTCGCCCCCCCCTCCAAGATCATATCTCTCTCTCTG